AGCTGTTGTTCAGACTGTAAGAATTGGTTTCTATGAGTTTCTTGGGTGCTTTCCTCATGGGACCCTCTGTGGCATCATCATGGGGAAACTGAGGCAGAGAGGAGCCCAAATCAGAGGAAAATGCTGGACCTTGAAGGAAGAGCTGAGCTCTTTTTGCAGCAGCTGGGCTGGACTAAGGCTTGGGGGTCGTGGCTAGGAGTGCAAGGAGCAGATTTATTGCCTAGAAATGCCTTTGCTCATGCAAAGCAAAATAAACCCTTGTTTTCATGAGTATTAGGGCGAAGCAACAGTCTTGGCTCTGTGGCAAGAAAGGGATAGAGTTTCTAATGGACTTTAGTGGTATGCTATAACTTTGCTGCAGCCTGAAACAAACTGGGGGGGGGGATGGGGGATGGACGGACCTACAGTGCCAGGCTCCCTGTGTCCTGGGACTGGGGAAACTCAAACCCAGTGATGGGTCCCTGCTCTGCCCCTGCAGGCAATTAATGTCTGGGGAGAGCCGAGGTCGCTTAATGAAATGGGATGGAGGTAAACCTAGATTCCATGAAATAAAATAGCTATTTATGGTGCAAGGACTTTGTTTCTTCTGACTTCACCCAGTACTATGAAGTGGATTATAAATGGCACTGGTTAATCTTAAACTAACATCAACAGGAAGCCAGTGGCTCGGGTGGGAAATTCCAAAGCTCACAAACACTATGTTTTGGGCCCATGTCAGAATAAAAAGCTTGTCTCTTATGAACATTTATGGGGAAATTCTGACCTGGAAACACTTGTTTTGTGTTAAAGCCCAGCATTAAGGAAACAAACTGCAAGAGGGCTGGAGGGAGATGCATGCATGTGAAAGTTTTGAGAGCCTGTCAGATTCAGCTGATGTCCATGGGGTTCCTTGAAATGCTTTGATTTTTGGTTGAGCTGTGTCCTAATGCTTTCAATGGCTTCTGGCAAATATTTTAGGACCTTGGTAGCAGCTTATGGGGCTACGGGAGAGTGTCAAGAAGTGGGCTGCGACGGTGTGATGTTGTGGGCTGGGGGGCTCAGCAGCACCCAGATGGGCTGCTGCCTCCTCTGCAACAAGCTACCTTCTTTCCTCTGCAAGCACTGGTTTTGTGGCCTCATGTATCAGCTGATGTGTGTAACTTGGCTCCCAACACGGGTGCTTTGGCTTTCACGTGTGCTTTGTTGCAGTTGCTAAAGTAAGCCTGAGACTTCTCCCTTCCTTCCCTGCCTTAAGGTAGTTTCCTTTTATTAAGAGCCTTTTCATCTTTAGTATTAATAGAAAATTATGATTTCCTTACCTATATCTTAGCTTTGCCAACTGTGAAAGGCTTTCAAGTAGCTCTTGGACCTGACTTGGTTTGCTGGAAATATATATATTGCATTTGTATCTCCTCCCAATGAACTGAAGTGATAGTGGGACTGCAGCATGTGTAGGCAGCACTTTGCTTCCTTGGGCTTCACATCATTGCTTCTCTCATCTGATTAACCAAACAAATCTATCCAAAACCCACTAGTTGGACTTGGTGCCTTTGAAAGATTTGTTTTTCTTCCCAAATATCAGTTCCTGCTGGCAGTCAGGAACTTCCCAGTCCTGTGACCCAGGGCTGTGCAAGAAAGGCATGGGGAAAGGCAGGGAGCACAGCCCATGTGGCTCCATGCCAGGGCTGTTTCAAGCCATCCTCCAAATTAAGAGTGGCTTAAAAGCAATTCCTTCCTCTCCTTCCGCTGGGGTTTGGAGGAAAGAGAGGCCAGAGTGAGCTGAGGTGTTACATGTGCAGAGATGCAGTGCATAGTCTGAGCACAGTTAAATTACTGGGGTCGTGCTTGGTGCCCGATAAGGCAGACCCATGCCTGGTCTGCACAGAAATGATAAAACTGAGAAGCAGGAGGGGGTTTACAGTAGTGTTTTCAATAATGGCTTTGCAAAAAAAGAAAAAAAAAAGACAAACCCCACCACTGTGAAGCATCTGTTTGTAAATGGAGAGCAGTATCTCATTCTTGAGTGGGGGGGGGGAAATCCTGGACGAACATATTTTCCCCAGCAATGAGCTGCATAGCCACAGCACTGTACTGGGAGGCTTCCCAGCAGCTGGAAGGACGAGATTCCTGTGGTCCTGCACTGCTTAGTCAGGAGAGGTGACATGCAAACACGCTGGGGTTGCTGGGAGAGGAGGTTGGCTCCTGTTCAGTACCTGGCTTGACACCACCAGATGTGTGTTTCTCCCATGGGAGGATCCTTCTCCGGAGAGGAGGCTGCTCCGTGCGGGCTCTCAGGCATGTGATTTATTGGTTCTCCCTGGCTGCGAGAGCTCCAGGCGCAGGCAGACCAGAGGAGATGGATGCTGGGGGAAATTACCCATCTCCTGTGAGGGTTTGCCAGGCCTGGAGTGTTTGTGTAGGCAGGGTTGTGCTGGGGCAGGTGTGTTATGGTCTGGTAGCAAAGCCAGCAGCGCTGCCAGCTCGTGAGTCACCCTGTCCTGTGCATGTGTCTAAAAACCAAATAATCCGGTGGCTTTGTGCCCCTCAGGAGCCTGTCTGACCTTGCGGGAGCACAGCACAGGAGCTGTTGTCTGGCTCTGGCAGAGTAACTTTCCCATCCATTTTGTCCCCCGGTGATATGGGTTTGCTGCACGGGCTTCCTGCTGCCTTTGCAACTCCTGAGCAGGAGAAATAGGATCTTTGTAATTACTCTGCAAATAGCTTTTAGAAAGAAAGCCATAGTTTGTCTTGCACAGGATGCTGTGAGAGAGCTTGCTAATCTGATGGGGTTTTCTTCCAGAGCATTCCCGGGGGATCCCTCTGCACCTTGTCTGTTGGCAAACCCTTTTGTGCTGATCCCATTTGGTGACAATCCTCTCAGGAGGTCTCCAGATGGAGGTGTTGCCTCTGTGTGAAGGGCTTCTCTCTGCTTCTAGGCATAAAATAAAATGGCCCTGTTCAGAGTCCTGTTTCTGGCTTTTGCTGTTATTTGGGCAACCTCTGCAAAGTGGTTACCCAAACTAACCACTGCAAACTTACTGCAGGAACCAACTGGAGCCAGTTACTGCAAAGTACCGGTGTTCCTCTGCTGCCCTGGGACAGACCCGGGGGTCTGAGCTGCCAGGACTGCACCAATGCAAGCCTTGTGTCAGCTTCACTGCTTTCATGCTTGAATAAACAGTGAAAATGGACGGGTTTACCGTGGTGAGAGTCACTTTGGCAGGAAGAGTCCCTTGTCCATGTCTACAGCTCTACCAGTGTCCGCGTCCCTGTGTCTGTCCTAGTCAAAGCCACTGTCCCTTCACCTGCCACCCTCTTCCAAGCTTTTAGCTGAGCTGTCAGCTTTTCAAGGGAAGTCGTTCTTTTCTAAGAAATCCCCCTTTCCATGGTGGAGAGTCTCTGGGCAGCTGTAATGATTAACAGTCCTGGGGCTGCAATCCCCTGTGTGGCTCCCCTGGGACCCCAGATTATCACAACCCCCCCCCAGCTTGTGATAGCATGTGAGGATGTAAACCCCATTTTGGTGATCCTGACTTATGCAAACCAGTGCTCCTGACTCTGATGGGAAAAGCATTACTCACGTGAGCCTGTTTGCAGGATCAGAGCTCTAATTATGGGGTTTGCCCATCTCATAGCATGGGAACCAGAGCCATTAGCCCCTAAACCTCCAGATCATTCCCAATATATTAATGTTTCTAATTAGTTAAGCCTGATGCCTTTTCTCTCTGTAATGACAGTGGCGCTAGTACTTACTCGTGTTCGCTCTGCGTGCCGGTACTTCATTATATAATGATACAGTATGTGTTCTAATACCTATTCCCAACTGACAGTGGGTTTTTTGCATATGCCTCATCCAGAACTGATTAGGCAATGGAGAAGACAGGCTAGTGCAAATAAATGTTTGGGTTGCATCCTTTCTAATTAGCTGGGAAGTTGCTAGTGCAGAGGGGAATTAGGACCAGGTGAGGACCCAGAGCCGGTGGGTCAGTTGAAGAAGGGTGCTGTGGGATGAAAACCCATTGCCTGGTTTTGTGCTTCTTTTAGGGGACGAACTGCCCCTTCTCCGGGCTGTGTTTTCATCCCCAGTCCTTTCTTCCCTTCCCTCCAGGGAAACCATCTCCACGGCAACCTCAAACCTCCAGGCTCTGCCTCAGAGCTGCTCGCCCATCCCCAGGACCCGGTGGGTAAGTGCCTCGGCAGGGCCGGCCACCGTGGTCCGGGCCACCGGGTCCATCAGGCTGCTGCAGGCACCTCGCCGCAGCCCAGGGAGGTGAGGGGTGTGGGTACCTAAACCTCATACCCCGGCTCCCCTCATCCTGGGGGCTTGGCTCATGCTTCGTACGGACTTAAAAATGGGTGGTCGTGGCTGTCCTCCTGCAGGAAAAGCTCTGCCCTGGTTCTGGAGAGGGTGGCTGGGTTCAAGGGGGCTGGTCTTCTGCAGGGGCTCTGCCTGGGGTCAGGGATGTGTTGGTCAGCGTGTCACGGCTGGTTGTGCATCCATCAGTAATGGTCTTGGTTAGACCGTTAGCCTGATAGCAATTTTTCATCTTTTCCATCACATTAGAGTCCTAGGGAGAGCAGCAGGGCCAGCACTGGTGGTGATCATGGCTGTGCTGGGCTGCCCAGTTTGTGATATCATATGTGCACATCCCTGGTGCCATGCGGGAGGGTGGGAATGCGCCGTCCTTGTAGGTGGGCAGAAATGGGTCCTCTAAGATGTAGGATCTTGCTGTAAGCCCGCTGGGGACTTGGTATTCCCTGGCACGGGGCAGCAGCAGGAAACACAGTTCATTTCTGGCATGGTTGGGATTAATGATGTGGAACTGGTGGAAGTGGAAAAAAAAAATGACGTGTAAGGCTGGGTGTGCTTTGCCTGGAGCTGGTTTCTGGGAGGGGGGGGCTGAACTGGAGCATGGTGGTGGGGATGCTGTGGGTGCTTGCAGGTGCTGGGGGAGCGGTGCTGGGTCACAGCTCTGCCTGTGGGACTGACCCTCTCTGTCCCTTGGTCTCTGCAGGGCAGGATGAAGCTGCTGGGTGCTGTGTTGCTGGCTGCCAGCCTGCTTGGCACTGCTGCCCGGGAGGAGCAGTCCCCCTGGCCAGATGACCCTTTGCGGACCTGCTTCTTCCAGATGCTCAGCGGTGTGGACGGTGAATTCTGCAGGTGAGTGACACCCTCTTGTCTCCTTTCTGAACTGCACCAGCCCTGGGTGGCCAGTCATGTGCTGCCCTTGCATGTCACCTCCTGGGACAGTTAATTCCAGTATCCCTTTTGCCAGGGCTATAAATATTAGTTGCTTTCTTCCTTTTGCCAGGAATCTGGGCCAGAGCAAAGCCAAGCAGTGCCTACATGCACTGCAAGCTGAGATCTTGGTGTCTCTGGGCACCTCCAGTTGTTCCTTGGTCCATTTTGCAAGGTTTTTGAAGCAACTTCCAGAATCAGAGATGACAAATGTTTTCTGCAGAAAGTCTCAGAGGAAGGGGGCTACTTTTGGTGAAGGAAAGTGCTAGAACAGGTCATCCCACAGACCTCAAAGCTCATCCTGCAGAGATGTTAATGCTTGAGGTGTGGGCATGGGAAGAGGAGGAAGCCTTAGGGAGCTTCTCCTGGAGCTGCTAACAGGCAGTTTGCTGCTGTACCAGTTGGGGGCCCCAGCTGAACAGTCACCAAATGCCCCCCTTATCAAGTGTTTTAATACTGAAGCTCCTTGCCTTAAACTCTTGCTGCTGGAGATGGGAGGCAGGGCTGGGTGAGCAGAGGCACACATGCCCCTTGCCTTTGGGGGCTTCTTAATATCCCACACTGCTGGGAGCTTCTGCATCAAAAACATCCTTTCTGCTACTTAGTTAACCAAAATGCTCTCTAAGTGTGAGCAACTTAAGCTTCTAGATTAAGGCAAGTGGGGACTTCACTTGGACCCAGCTTCCTCCCACAAACCATGAGTAGCAGCACCTTACTTTCAACTCTCAGCTTCCTCTGTGCAAGCCCCGTGCCGGTGCGGGCATTTGCTCAGCAGCTTCTCGGGCTGCAGGATTTAAGGGTGACTCCTGTGAGGGTCATGTCGGTGGCAGCTAATCTTCAGGGTGGCCTTGAGACCTGCTAGCCACACGCTGCGGTGACCTGACAGCTTGCCCTGGTGGCCCCTTTCTCTGTTAGATAATGCAGAAGGGGAAAGCACTCTGTGCAGAAGTCAGAGCTGGAGATATCTGACCTGTTATTGCTCTACCAGTGCTAAAATACAGAGGAGACTTCTCCCTGCTTTCATATCGCGAGTGGGAGAAGGGGGTTCAGAGTTCAAATGGCTTGTCCAAGGCCGAGGGGGAATAGGGGTAACTTTGCTCTCCGAGCCTTAGATTAACCCATGCGGGCCATGATTTTTAAAGACTATTAAAAAAATCCTGGAAATAATCTGAGCGTTGTGCTGAGGCATAGTGAATGTTTAAAGTCTTGCTGCTGCTTTGGAGAGGGAGTACACCCCATGGCTATGTTACAGCATGGGAGGGTGCTTATCCTGGTGTACAAGGTGCCCAGCAAGTTGGATCCTGCATCTCCTGCCCAGCATTGCAATCGTAGCTCAAGCCTGGCTGGCAAGTGGCACCAATTCCCATCCCCTGGCACCAATTCCCATCCCCTGGATGGTGTGGTCCTACCCTACAAGCTCTTCTCTCCCCCTTTTTTCTCCCCAGGGGGGATCTAGAAATTATCTACCCGGAGCTGGGTGACGTGGGCTGCACTTACATCCCCAAGTGCCACCAGTACCGGCGGCGGATCAGCAGGGAATGGGGCAGCCCCCGCGTTCGGTACCCCCAGGCTGAGAAGGTGAGTCCCGAGTCGCATCGCTCAGGGGTAGCTGCCTCTTCTCTGTGCTAATTAAAGGTGTAGCCAGCTTGCAGGGGAGGAATTTGCTGGGAAAGGATTGCTTACACACGTGCGCGCTTGTACTTTGAGCTTGGCCTTGACACCCTGGCTGGGAGCTGGGCCAGGCAGGGACACCCAGTACCCACGCTTTGGGTGCTGGGGACGGCCCGGGGGGTTGTTCACCCTGTGTCATGTGCTGCTTAGCACCGCTGTCCCCCGGCCAAATTGCTATCAGCTACTCGAGTTGTGCTTGTTAAACTTTTGCCTGCAATCAGGGTGACTTTCTAATGTGTGGTGTGGTTTTTTTTTTCTTTCCTCCATGCTTCCCCATTGTTTCAGGGGTTTGGTCTGAGGCTGAGCTGTGGGTAAACTGGATCTCCATAAATGTTGTGGGGTTTTGGGTTTTTTGGTTTTTTTTTCCCTACATTGTTGCAGAAATGGCTACAAAATTTGCATGCATAGATGTTTTTAAATATTTTTTTTTTGCAATTGCTTGTAAACTTTTTAAAGCAAACCCACGCTTTGCCTGGGTGTTTACATCCCTAGCTGGCTCTCGCAGAAACCGGATTAATGAACCCGATGAGGTCCCGCGCAGTGCAGGGGCTGCAGGGTTTGTAATGCGGGGTTGGTGGGGGGTGGTAACGGGGTGGGTGGG